AGGCAAGGACTGAAACACAATCTGTAGGACTCCAGAGATGCCTTTCTTATTACAAAATGTAGACTGCTAATACCAAGCAAATTTAGAAGGTTATTATTAAAAAAAAAAAAGGAAGGGGCAGCGGCTATGGCTCAAGGAGTGGGGCACTGGCCCCATATACCAGAGGTGGCGGGTTCAAACCCAGCCCCAGCCAAAAAAAAAAAAAACTGCAGAAAAAAGGAAGGGGAGAGGAAGAGGAAGAGAGAGAGAGAAAGTGCAGGAATGGTGGAAACCAAGAGAACTCCGAGGCTTTATGGTAGCTGGATGGTACGGAACCAGCACCTTGTATAAACTAGGTACATAGTAACTACTTCTTGATTAACAATAAAGGTTGGAAAATCATGGCACTGGAAACATTTCTTTTTATAGAAAAATAGTAAAAATTACAGGTGACATTAACTGAGCACCCTCTTGTAGGAACAATGCAGGCATTACCTTGTTCTCAGTATCACAGTAACTACTGTCCCTACCTCACAGAAGAGGGATGTAGAATTAGGCCGTCTGCAGGGGAAGCAGCTGCTGTGGAAGGGCCAGTCTGGACGCTCACCCGGGCAGTGCAACTCCAGGGCACAATTCTTAACTGTGATCAGAAGCTTCAGAGGCCACTTGTACAACTCTGGATCAAAACCCCCAGGAAAGAGCAAATGGTCCCCAAATAAAAGATATAGAGAGGAAAAAAATAATGAAGTGGAGACTGAGTCAAGGGAAAAATGACAGGAAAGGAGTCCAACAGAAGAACGAGACAGGCCTTAAAAAGTCACATTAAAAGGCAGTAGGCTTTTAAGATTTTAAAATTAATACTTGAAATTAAATTTACCACCAAATGCTATCACACAGATACAAAAGCAAAACCATTAAGGCCTCTTTGCCTACCTGCCCTGGCAACAGACACCTGATTGCTATCTGCGGCAAAAGTCTCTACTCTGTAAGCCCATATCCTGCTTTGATCTATAAACCTACCTTTTTCTTCCTCAATAAACTTAATAAACTGCCTCAATAAACTGTCTTTAAAAACCAAAAAAGAAAGAAAGTCAAACCATTAAGAAAATAAAATGGTTGTGGCTCATCCCTGTAATCCCAGCTCTTTGGGAGGCTGAGGTGGAAGAACTGAGACCAGGAGTTTGAGACCTGCCTGGGCAACACAGTGAGACCCCATTTCTACAGAAAACAACTGAAAGTAGCCAGGCATAGTGGGGTACACCTGTAGCCCCAAGTACTCAAGTATCTGAGGCAGAAGGATCACTTGAACTCAAGAGTTGAAAGAACTCAGTTCCTCAGATTGAATATAATTAGTGGCTATGATGATGCCACAGCACTCTAGCTGGGGCAACAGAGCAAGACCCTGCCTCAAAAAAAAGAAATGAGGCTCGGCACCTGTAGCTCAGTGAGTAAGGTGCCGGCCACATACACCAAGGCTGGCAGGTTTGAGCCTGGCCCAGGCCAGCTAAACAACAATGACAACTGCAACAAAAACATAGCTGGGCATTGTGGTGGGCACCTGTAAGTCTCAGCTACTCAGGAAGCTGAGGCATAGAATCACTTAAGCCCAAGAGTTTGAGGTTGCTGTGAGCTGTGATAACAGAGCACTCTACTGAGGGCGACATAGTGAGACTCTGTTGAAAGAAAGAAAAGAAAGAAGGGGAGGAGAGAGGAGGGAAAAAGGAAGGAAGAGTCATATGGGAATGGGGAGGGAGGGATAGGAGAGGATGGAAGTGGAGGGAAGAGAAAAGGGAAGGGAGAGGAAGGGAGGGGAAGGGAGAAGAGAAGAAAAAACCCTAGAACTTATATGTACATTAGAATATTTTAGTCTTGCTCGCTTAAGAAAAAAAAAATCTCTGTACTCAGAAAACATAAGTACTTATCTGATTCTAAATCTATTAAAAATTAGTTTAGTCATTTATTTTAAAGTAACTTTTATCAATTTAAGGAAAGTGCCATTTATGACAATTTTTTTAATGTTCTTATCAAAGAAGCATGCTGAACTTTGTCAAATGCTTTTTCAGCATCTATTGAAAGGATCATAGGCCTTTGTTTTAGTTCCGTTTATGTGGTGCATGATGTTACAGATTTGCATTATGCTGAACCAGCCTTGTATCCCCGGATGAAGCCTACCTGGACGTGATGAATTATTTTTCTGGTGCATAGCTGAATTTCGTTTGCTAAGATTTCATTGAGTATTTTTGCAACTATATTCATTGAAGATATTGGTCTGTAGTTTTCTTTTGTTATGCCCTTTCCTGGCTTCAGTATCAGGGAACTGGGAAGGATTCCTTCCTTCCCAATGTTATGAAATAGTTTCTGCAATATAGGTACAAGTCTTTTTTCTAAGATTTGGTAGAATTCTGGTGTTGAGCCATCTGATCCAGGACATTTTTTGTTGGAAGATTTTTTATTGTTACTTCAATTTTGGTGTTGATGTCAGTTCAAGAGTTTTACTTTTTCCTGGTTGAGTCCAGGAAAAAGTGTGATTCCAAGGTTTGTCCATTTCTTTCACGATTTCCATTTCTGAGCATAGGGAATTTTATAGTATTTAGTGATCATGTTTTATATTTCCATGGTATCTGTTGTCATCTCCTCTTCTTCATTTTTGATTGAGCTTCTTAGAGACTTTACTTTTTTGTTTCTGGTCAATATATCACCAAAAGCTTATTCTGTTAATCTCAGAGAACCAACTTTTTGCTTCATAAATCTGCCTGGTTCTTTTGTTCTCAATTTCATTTAGTTCTGATCTGATCTTGGTTATTTCTTTCCTTCTGCGAGGTTTGGGGTTGGTCTGCTCTTCCTTTTCTAGTTCTTGGAGATAGTTTATTAGGTTGTTGATCTGTAATCTTCCTGACTTCCAAAGGTAGGCATTTAAGGTGATGAGTTTCCCTCTCAGGACTGCTCTTGCAGCATCTCACAGGTTTGGACAGCTGTGGCCCCACTGTCATTTAGTTCAGAGAATCCACTGAGGTCCGCCTTTATCTCCTCCATGACCCAACTATCACTCAATAATAAGTTGTGCTCCATGACTTTGTGTGGAGATGAGTGTTTCAGCTGGAGTTGATTTCTAACTTAGACCACCGTGGTCTAAAAAGATACACAGAATAATTTCCATTTTTTTTAATTGTTGAGGCTTGTTTTGTGGCCTAGGATGTGATTGATCTTGGAGAATGACCCATGAGCTGATGAGAAACATGTGTGTTCAGTAGCGTTGGGGTGGACACTCTGTAAACATCTGTTAAGCCCATTTGTTCTACAGTCATGCTGAAGTCCACAATTTCTCTGCTTAGTCTCTATTGGGAGGATCTGCCCAGTTCCATCAGTGGGGTGTTGAAGTCCCTGCCTATAATGGTGTTGTTTTGTTTAGATCAAGTAGAATTTGCTTTACAAATCTGAGAGCACCTAAGTTGGGTGCATAAATATTTAGGATTAATATCTCTTCTGAAAAAATGCTCATTTCATTAAGGAAATGCAAACCCAAACCACACTGAGATATCACCTAACGCTAATGAGAAGGGCCACTTCGTAAAGTCCCAAAGCAATGGATGCTGATGTGGAAGTGGAGAGAAAGGGACGCTCACAGGACAGCCTCTATGGATAGCAGTACAGCGACGCCTCAAAGAACTAAAAGCAGACCTACCATTTGATCCCGCAATCCCACTACTAGGGATTTACTCAGAGGAAAAGAAAGACATTTTATCATAAAAGATACTTGCACTCAATCAAATGTTTATAGCAGCACAATTCACAATCGCCAAGGTATGGAAACAACCCAAGCGCCCTTCAACACATGAATGGAGTAATAAACTGTGGTATGTGTACGCCATGGAATATTATTCAGCCAAAAAAGATGGAGACCTAGTATCTGTTGTAATAACCAGATGGAATAGGAGACCATTCTCTAAGTGAAGTGTAGCTAGAATGGAAAAACAAACACCACATCTACTCAATATTGCATCAGAACTAAGTGATGGAGAGCTATGTGCTCCTAGGGAAACAAAACTTAGTGAACTCCGAGTAGAAGGAAGGGAAGTAGGGTCTGGGCAAACTCCCACCCAGCGGGGCACTGCACACTTTCTGGGTGAAGGATACATCTGTACCTCTAATTTTTAGCCATACAAAAGTAAACTATGTAACCAAAACATATGTACCCCCATAATAACCTAAAATAAAACAACAAAATAACCTTTAATTCCATTGTAGAATTACTGACTTGCATTACGTTTAATATCAAACTTAGAGTAAATTATAACTGAAATTTAAAGAGATAATTTTTCCCATTATCAAAAGTAAAACTTACACTGAGACAACAGCAACATCGTTCTTCCACTTACACCTCCACCCCATGCACACAGCTGGAGTCTTCTCAGACACACAGCTCCCCTCTGTGTGCGGCAAAGACTCTCAAAAGGCAGACTCTATACTGCAGAGGCCATGGACTCACACTGACTGTGTAAATACTAACTTCAGGAACATACTCAATTTAGGAAAATAATCAAGTACTCTTTAAAATGAATATTTCGTTTTCAACATGCTTCTTCTGAAATGGAAATAAATAAAACTCGTGTAACAATATAACATTATGAAGTTAAATACTCCAAAAACATTAATAGAGATTCCTTTGTTTTAAAAATGAACCATAAACATAAAAATAAAGAGTATAGATTGTAAAATAAATAGATTGAAGTTAAGAAAGTACACAGCTATAATTAACTGTCAATTATGTATCTAACAATGAAAATTTAAGACATATATAAAACTCTGATTAGCCAAGGGAAGATACTTTCAGAAATCCTTCAGTACGACAGTGCTGTGATATAAATACAGAGAACTCACATCCTAAATGACTAACATTTCTGAATGTCAATTTTTGTGCTGTACATTAAGAGGACATGAATAAGCTGAGTCAGAACTACACAACTTTCTTACTGAAAGGAAAAGCAAGTCCATCTGTGCGGCTGCCCCTCCATCTGTCCTACCTTATTTTTCGGATTGGATGTGTTCATAACACTTCGAGTCTCCTTTCCAGTGTAAATGACAACACCTATCACAGTACCTGCAAAGACACGAAAGTGGTCCTTATAGAAATACTTTCGAGATAAGCAAGGAGATAATTATTTTGATGGAAAATATTACACTACTTGGTTTTACGTAAATGTATCCAACACTGCATTCAATTCGGCTACTTCAGGAAAATCTAATCTCAACTTTTAAAACAGACTTTGACAGAATCAAATGATTTGTTAAGCAATATAAATTTAACCTACATATAATACTAGAAAATGTACTAATATTCTTTTCACTGACAACAAAAAGAATGACACTGGCCTTTCACTACTGTTTACTGTGTTGCTGGAGTTAAACTGAGAGAGGGTAAGTTCTTAACTATCAAATCATCACCTGACCTTCATGCCAAAGATAGTGCCAGCTGAACCAGTTTCTTTTGTTGCTGTTTGGCTGAGGCTGAGTTTGAACCTGCCACCCTCGGCATATGGGGCTGGCGCTCTACCCACTGAGCCACAGGTGCCGCCCCCCAGAACCAGTTTCTTTTGACAAGACCTTGACTCCCACTGTGAAGATCACTCAGACCCTTCCTTTCACTGTAAAGTGCTACTAAGTAAAGCAAAGGAGGTCTTTGCTAATATTTCAGAGTGTATACTTAATAACCATAATAGAAATATTATAAAAAGGTTTTGATTTTACATTTAGAAACTACTCATCTGTTTTTCCTTGTCTCTGAAAGTTTAGTTTTCCAATTTTACAAGATTACAATTTTTAAGCTTAAAAAAGAACGGCTCACAGATTACAAAAGTTTTGATGCACTTATCTCCAGAATGTCAGAATTAAAAACCACAGAAGTCTCCTTCTACAATTATAGCTACTCATAATTTATACTCCTAATTTTCATCCTTAATGTTTATAAATTTTGAAGGTAAGAAACATCATTATTGTGAGAAAGATAACATACACATAATACTCATTACAGTTACAGAATCAACTACAAGAACTTAAGGTGAGAAAGATAATATACACATAACACTCATTACAGTTACAGAATCAACTACAAGAACTATACAAAATGCCTTTGATTTCACACTAATTTAATATCTAAAATTTAGTAAGTTCTGAGTCAGAACCTTTGGAGTAAGTATTCCAGACTTGGGTTTGGGGACATTGGATATGCTGCATATTACCCTACATACGTGGTTTACTCTTTTGCCCTAAGAGAATGGAGAACGTTCTAGTAATTTTATGTGTTAAAAAGCAAAATCATGTCTTTGAAACAAAACTCACACCTTCCACTTTAGGAAACTCAGGAAGGTCAAGGCATTAAAGTACTCCTCAGTGACCTCTAGCCTCAGAGGACACATATTTTTCTTCTTAAACTGTGTGGCATTGGCAAAGTTGGGAGGCTCCAGTTTGCCAAGTTCATGGACGGCATGGCCAGCTGAGATGTGAGGTGAAATCTCAACCAGCTGGACAAGTGCTGTCTTCCTCACTGTCCATACAAACCTCCCAGATGAGATGACCATACTTAGGACACATAAGCATTAAATATATAATGACATAATACCATGAAAAGTTTTCAAAAACTTGTATCATAGAATACTTGTATGTCAGTGAAGCAAAATGTTAAATATGACCCTGTCAATATTTTCTTTGTATTTTGCCAATTTAGTCTAACTTAATAGAAATAGAAAAGCACCATTAATGTTGAATAATTACAATGATGTAACAAGGTGAACTGCAAACTTAATGTGTGTTCTAACATAAGCTGAGTGACCAAATCTCAAAGGTGCCTTGGCAATACTCAAACTAGAATTTTACCCTAAAAGCAGATTTTTAAGCAATATGGATTTCTAGGCTGGCATTACCATTTACAGTACCCAAATTAAATGTGAGAGATGATGAGACATTCACAATAGCATTTAACAAAATCTCTGATGCTACATTTGCATAATCTGTCAAAATTTGCTAAAGCCTCTCAAATGTATTCCCTCATTTGATAGTCACCACAGTGAGTATGGGCTGTCATCAGATTAAATGCATTTTTTTCCTGAGTCTGGCATGCTTTTTAACACATAAAATTACTAGAACATTCTCCATTCTCTTAGGGCAAAAGAGTGAGTAAACCGCGTATGTACGAGAGAAAAGACGTCACTGCTGGCTGTGAAAGGAGACCTGAGAGCAACAGGAGCTCACGCACATCTGGAGCCGCCTCGGACGGTGGAGGTGAAATAAGACAAAGCACTGCAAAGATCTCCCAGTCAATCTGGGAGAATTTCACATTTAATCTATACTTTAAATATTAAATTTAGCTCCCCTCCCACTGGTTCAAACGTGAAAAGCTTCTACGTCAGAAAGACATAATAGCTCAATAACATGCTAGTGTGTTAAAATCACAATAAAGAAACTCTCAGCAGGCAGGTGCCCTAAAGGTGATGGTGACATAACATTCAAAATTAAATTTAAAAGAATTTAGTTCAACATACACTGAGAAAATAACATAAGCAATTTATAAGCACTTAATATTTAAATCCAGTGATTATATTTGATCCACACTTATACATCTCAAATTGACTATAGCTAATTAAAAACTAATACAAAAAATATTCAGATGTGTTGGGTCCGAACAGGGTACAAATACCACAGTGCTCCCTCTTGCGCTCCACTGACTCAGGGCCTCGAGCTCGGGGCCTTGGCCATCCGCTGTGCTGGTCCCCGATGGCTGCAGTGTGAAAGTCATTATGGGGTCCAATTTCATTAATTTAAACCTCTCTTCAGTCACAACTTCACTTGAGTGGAACAGTAATTAATCTTTTAGCTCTTATGTGACTCCCTTGTTACAAGTTATACAGAAAATTCCACATAAAATCCTACCAACTTCTAATTAATAGTGTAGTATTTTAAGCAAACAACTTTCCAAATGCAGAATAAGCAAAAAGAAAAAAAGAATACAAATGCTAAGAAGACCAGATTTAGGGAAAAAAGATACTTTCCTTTATACAAAAAATTCAAATTCATAGCTGCAAAACATAATTCAGTGAGTCAAACTACGTATCTCACTTAATATTTAAGGAGTCAGCCTAAGGAGTCAGTCAATACAACACTTTTAGTTGCTCTATTTAAATACCAGTGGGGACAGGTCAGGGATGGTTTGTTTTTACCTGTGTCTGACCCCCACAACTCTGAAACCACTGACATGATACTATGTTGACTCTGCAGATTATTGACCAAGCCTCAGAAATTCAAAATTAAGATTATTCACAGAACATTTTATACACATACAAAAATTATAAACCCTACATAACTTTAGCTAAATAATTAATAGCTATAAACCCACCTGATCTAAAAGATAGCAAAGTGCTTACTTAAAATTTACTCAATAAAATAAAACAAAGTAAATATGTATTTATGGGTGTACAAAAGATGTAAAGAGCTCTCTGGCAATCACAGAGTATTGATCATGTACCCAGAATCTGCTAGTTACTGGAAAAGAAAGCAGACAGGGCCACATACACCAGCTCTGGAACTCACTGTAGCTCCCATGTGCTGGACTCCACGGAAAGCAAGCAGGAGGCGCAGAGAGAACACAGGGTGGATGCGGATACACACAGACCAAGTGGCAGGTCCAGGAAAAACTGAGGAAGATGACAATGTGGGCCTCAGAAACTCAGAACCTGACCACCGCTGGGCAACAGCAACATAGGTGACCTGTACTAAATCCAAATTCCACAGCGGGACACACCGAGTGACATGGAGACCTATGCTCCCTCAGGAGTCCACACAGCTAAGAACACAGATGTGGGAGAGCAACACCCACGACTGGGGTCCACGTGGCCAGAGACAGACAGGAGAGACCTGCACCCACGACTGGGGTCCACATGGTCTGGAACACAGACAAAGGGAGACCTGCACCCACATCTGGGGTGAATGTGGCCTGGGACACCGCCACATACAGGACACCTGTGCTCACATCTGGGCTTCATGTGGCCAGGGACATGGACAGAGG